TATATAACCAACAAAAGGGAAGGGAGGAAGGGAATAGGCAGAGAAAATATGGCGCCTTGACAAACTCCCGTAGGCTACACCCCAACACCCCTCATCCGTAGCCTTTAAATTCGCATGTAGTAGTTGTAGTGGTTGTAGCGGTGGTTATTCACCTGACTGCTAAGAAAGCACAAATGCTTGTTAGTAAGCAACCAGAGAACCGACGGCTTAAGGTCCTCTCCGAGAGACCTGGTAATGAGGATTAATGCCTTACCAAAGGGCAATAAGCGCATCGCCTTGGTTTCGAACCCGAATGTCATTTTGCGAGTAAGAAATATGCCCCAAACGTTCCCCTGCCCCCCCCCCCCCCCGATGGGTAAACTCGGGCTACGCCACAGGTGGAAATGCTTTGTTTGCTCGGATGACTGAACAACATCTCTATAATTCATTATTTTGTCTATCCTCAATCTCCTGATGGCGTCGTTGTTTTTAGCCAAATTAATTGGCAAGAATTCCTTTTGGTCAAGCTTCCTGTGGGGGGGGGGGGGGCGTTTCACAGAACTTGTCATCAGTGACAAATGACAGTTTTTGTTATAAGCTACTGAAATCCTTCTGATCCTTCTGATTGGTTATCAGAATATTTGTCACTGATTTTTGTCATTTGTCATTGAAAAAAGGTCTTTGTGAAACGGGCCCCATCAGGTCTAACCATAATATAGTGAGGCTGTACTTCATTTCGTTTAATTTCCCTGGCACACAACCTTTTAGCTTGAAGAGAACTACTCCAATATGTTATCATTGTGACGAACTCTCATCAGGTTTTTTATCCTAATAGTATAAGAACAGGCCACCATCAGGTGTATTCTCGTTTTAGGCAACAGTTTGTGGAGTAGTATGGTGAGTTTTAATTTAATTTTAATTCAGTTCAATTTAATTTGAGTCCGATCCAATTCAACTCGATTAATTTCACTTCACATCATGTCAGATCCGTTAGATTAAAGTTCATTTGAAAGGTTCAACCATATTCAAATTATTCTAGTTTTTTGCATTAAAGTTAATTCAATTCATTCCAGCATGACATTAATCTCAATTTGCCACACTCCACCCAGGTGATGTAAGTATGTACCTGGCAGGAATTAATTCCTTGAAATGCTACAGTGCCATAATGACAGCAATGCTAAAGCTGGGGTAATAATGTTGAGCAACAGGAGTGTCGGGTCCGACAGACAAGAGCGCTGTACAAGAACCCACTATTATTATTATTATTATTATTATTATTATTATTATTATTATTATTATTATTATTATTATTTATTCAAGTCAACTCAATTCGGTTGTACAACACAATGCTCCGGTGAAAACAAAAATCATTCCGCGGTCGATATAATATAGCAACAGAATTCCGGACTTCTAATCTGGCCTAAACACTTTACCTAAATAACCCAAAGCCTAACCCTAACCCTTATCGAAACCAAATAAACCTAACCGTAACCTTATTCTTTTTATGAAACAAAGCCCGGAGCAATTGTTGCAGGGGCAAGTATCGGAACAATTGCTCCGGGCTCTATTTCGTCATTAGAGTTAGAGTTGGTGTTGCACTAAGACATTAGATTAGGTTTGGGATTTACCAACTTGTCCTAAGTATATTTGATTTGATTTGATTTATTGGTTTCTGCATCTTTTTTTCTTTTTTTTTCATCATACATTTTCATGAACATAATATGTTTTTATACAATATTTTAAGTGTATATAATTTTATACAGATAATAAAAGAAATTAAACAAATATATTGAATGCATAATTAACATTAGATATAGGAGGGCTACAGAAATAAGCAAAGTAGCTGGACGTGCCCGCATCCCTCAACTTAGATACAACAATAAAAATAAAAAAGAGTGTGACTTGCAGAGAAGAAAAGGAAAGGGGAGAGAAGGAGCGTTGGTAATAATACAATAAATCTCATACATCTGCTGATTGAATGCAAACATAACACGATCGCTACTACTTTCGAGAAGAAAAAAATATCATCTCAGGGCGATTTTGATACACTTTTGTAGATTCCAAAGAAATCATGTTCGAATTAGGTACTACGTCATTGTCATGTTCGCATATTTCAAGAGGTAATTCACAAGGCCATTAAAATTGCCCACAGATTGATTTAACGAAAGTAGTCGCTATCGAGTTACATACATCTGGGGGGTGTTTCAAGTTGAACTTATCATTAAGTTGGACTTAAAAATTATGGAATGCCGTTAGCATCTATGAAAATATTTTGTAAAAGTCATTCTAGTAGGCATAAAATGTTGATTCAAATCATTCATATTTTCTATTATCAAGAAGATGTCATGTTCTTCATGTGGAATTTATAAAAATTCTAAAATACTTGAATTTTTGCTTTTGAATATATTTTATTTTAAGGCTACAAATGGCTCTCCATTACTTTCGAGTCCAACTTAGAGTTAAGTTCGACTGAGGATCTTTGTGAAACACCCCCAGGAGTTATTGCCAATTTCTTAACGTTTGGCTAGTGAAGCACATCGTCTTTACCTAATAGATTTAATACGCCAACGTGCCAAATTTGTCTTAGTTTTGACTGTAAACTAGACAGTCATACGCCCAACGGTTAATGTAATACATTTATAAAGCTTTTTTTCCTGTATGGATTCCGAAAATAATAAGTCTAAAACATATGTATGCAACTCAGTTATGAAAATTAAGTCAATAATCAAAAACTGTATAAAAGGGCGTCAAATTATATTTTGACAAATGCTAAATATTAAAATGATTATAATATTATGGCATAATATAGTATGAATTCCTCATATAAATTTAGCTTGCCGATGTCAACATAGTGTGTCGCAAAATTAAAGGAGTATTTGCACTATTCAGTTAAGGTGTCCATACTTCTTTCGAAAGGTGAATGACGAGGTATATATTTCGCGAAAAATAAAGCAGAGAAGATGATCGCAAATGAGAGAAATGCGTTGAAAATTTGGGTCAAATTGGTCTGGTTTGGTTTCAATTAACATGAACGTTACTCGCTTTGTCGCTCTTTTTTCAGGTGTTTGAATAAGCATTATCAAGGTATTGAAGGAAGAAAAAAGAAAGATATTTAGATAGGTTCGGTAATTGTCGCAAGACATGCATTGCCTATACTCCAAGCGTGCGACGCCCCAGCGTGTAAATACAGTTAACTAAATTATTCATTCCCCTTTTTAAAGGGACTTTGTAACATTGTTCAGATGAGAGATAGTGGTGCTAAGGTAGTGACTTCAATGCTAGATGTACAATTAAAGATAATCTGAAAATTCGAGTGAAAACGAATCATTATTCATGGTACAAATTGGGAAAAACTGATCTGATCGATTCCTTAATTCTCCCAACTATATTATTCTACTTCTATTCTGCTACTTGTCAAAGCCTGTTCAGCATCAAGAAGGACAATTTAATTACATTTTAGGAGAATGTAAATCGTCACAAAGCAATAAAATGGCTCTACATTCTATTCTAGACAGTTAAGTGTTGACAGATTTTTATAGCCTGTTTTATGTATTTTTCTCATGGAAAAACGGTTGGGAAAGTTCAAAAATGGTTGGGAGAATTTACTGTTAATCACTGTTAGACGGTGCCTCACATCGACGCCTTCAAAGAAAACCATAGATATCTTTGTGGTTTGAGAATTTGTTCAGGATTTTTTGCATGTCAGAGGGTTAGTATAGTAGAAGGAATATAGTAAGTAACATTTTATACAAAAATTAAGCAATTTTTTTCATCAACCTTCCACAATGTTACCGAGTCACTTTAAATTAAATATTTTTGTGTGTGTTTTACGTACGTCAAGAATGAAAGGTGGACCGGCTGAATTAGGACATTTGTTGAGTACCTTTAGATATAAGCTTCAATATATCACATTCTCAAGAAACATACATCGGGTCATATCAATATTTCAAAATACAAAACTTGCAGGGTAAGGGTATGAATAATGTAGTAGTTAATCGTATATCACTGACTGACATTGGACTGATTTCTCACCTTCTCATCTAGGCAACCAATGGAAATAGAATTCATTTCTTCATCATCGCCGTGCTAGCTTTATCATTTACAGGTATTAAATGTTATTATGTTACTTATTAAATGTTCTCATAGATGAGAAGATCGCTTATAATTTTAACTGGAAAAAAGGGGAGTTGGGCAGCGGTTTGATCCCGGACTCGGGATCCACACCTGGTCATGTTACGAAGAAAAATATGTTTTATCATAAAAAATTAATACATTTTGCCTCCAATATACTATTTTAACATCCTTATTATACTACTTTCATAAGCATATTCACAATATTGGCAGATATACGTTTACAACAGGTCGATCACTTGCACTCAGTACAGATAGACTCTGGCGCTTACAAAAAGGAGGGGAAAAGGGCTAGGGTTAGATAGGATTCTTGAATAACTATGCCCCGGTGGGAAATATACCCCATTCTTTTCAGGCAACTGAAGGGATTTAATTCCTTCAGATATTTTTGTAATATCTTCTGTATTATAAGCGCATTTCAATTTCATTATACAAAAAAAACATTTCATTCTTTTTTGGGTGTATTCATGGGTATTAATTAGGATTTCTACTCCCTTTAGCTCTGTGTTTACCGCAATGTAAAAACGATTATTGAAATGATTTAGTGAGGGGATTAAGGGGAATGTTTTCAAGTCTGTACTGTGTATTTTAATAAATAGTATGTATTTTAAATATCCTTTGATATGAATGTATATTATAAATGAATTATCATCACTATTATCCATCCCATTAAAGATAAAGTTGAGTTCTGGTCATGTGATTGCATTGTGAAAGAAAAGGTGTGGAATGGATCAGAAAAAGTTGATTATGTAGCATGTAAGTATTGGTTTGTACTGCAAGGTTCTGGAGTCATCAAAATCATAATAAATTTGGCCCAGTCTTGGTAAAGTAACAAGCACTGTACACAGAAATATGTGTATGGGACTACACAAAATGGTGTCGGGGGCCCGACACCTTGATTTCCATTTATTCTTTAATAATGAAAATTTAGTGTAAGTTTCGTTGATTCTGTGAGATTTTTTTTTTTTAAACCAGAACTCAAGTTCATCTTTAAGAATATTTTAGAAGTCTGTCTGGTATTATCTTCTTCTCCACCACCAATAGACAAATTAAATCCTCTATAAGAAGATCACTGAAACAGCACGTTTATTTTTGTTTTCAGCATGCTGTTGTCATGGTAATCTGAGTTGCTACGGGTCATTCCCAACATGCCCATCACTGGGGCTGGCCAATGGAGTTTCAGTTAAACTAGTTCAAAAGATCGTAAACACCTCTGGATATCTAGGGGTTTCGACAAACCTTCCAGGATTGGCGAGTTTCTGTAGAATTCCTGGTAATTATCACGAATCTTATCAATTCTTAACTTCTTCTCGATTTGTTCGGTGGGTCTGTATTTGTGTTTGTTTTACAAGGAACAATGGGAGTATTATACCAAATTTTTTATCTTGGATACGTCTTTCTTTAAATCCTTCGTTTTATCGCATTTGACGAGCGACAGAGACAGAGAGAGACAGACAGACATACATAAATACACACACATTCTAAATATAAATATTAATATCATATAATGTTGAAATTTTGTCATAATGTTGAATCATCAACGTATTGACAGTGTTCGATTGTATACAGTTTGAAGAAATGAACATTATGTGAGTGTTTTCGGAGCCCCCACCCCCATTTCTGAAGGTACGTTTTTCGGAAGATTCATGATTCCTAACAATGAAATAGGGTTTGTTATGTCAAAGTTTTTCCGAAATTCAGAGAAAAGATATAGGGTTATATGTCATTTAAAGGGATAGTTGAGTTCTGTTGCAGACGGCGCCACACAAAATAATTTTTTGTGAGATAATGAAAAACTGAGTGTCAAATTTGAAAGAACATAATATTTAAATGACAATATCATTTTTATTTGATCAAAATCGGTTCAGAGACGGCTGAAATATAACGATTTCTAATATTTGTGTACCACCACAAATATTATAAATTTGAAAAATTGAAAAAAAACGGTTGAAAAAAAAACAAATAATGCCTTTTACGTCGTATTTCAGCCAATGCCGATGTTGGCTTTTTTGTTGGTATTTACGTTGCTTACAATACCCACAATTAGCCGGCTCGTGTATTGTTGTTTTTAATCAAATAATTAATTAACGGTCACCGTGTTTTTGTTTAAAGTGGAGCTGAATTGGTATGATCGTATTGGCTAAATTTCACACATTTTGGGGTCTAAAATTACCTTCATAGCAATTTAGGTTCTAATAGGGCACTATAAATGTCATAGATAAGAATAAGAGCAATAACCGTGCACTTTGAAGGCATTTGCGGTCTGAAAACAGAACTCAACTATCCCTTTAAATAAATCTATTTGGAATAGAAGTAAATTTTGAATGGGTTCCAGCACATTGTGGCCTAGCAGGCAATGAGGAGGCAGACGCTTTAGCTAAACAAGCGGCTTCCAAGAACAATATAGACATTTTTGTCAATAGAAACAGACAACAATTTTTGAGTGAATTAGATGGCTTTTACAAAACTGAGTGGCAGAAATTATGGGAAACTGCCGAGAAAGGCAGATAAATCTACAACACAACGAGATGTAAAATATACGTGTATGATTAAAGGTTGCTGTGGTAAGGATGAAAGAATTTTACACCAATTCCGTCTTGGTAAGTGTAGACTTAATTATTACAATTACTTGATTAATAGGCATGATACGGGTCTTTGCGACAATTGTCACATTTTCGAAACTATCGAACATTCTATGTTATCATGCCCTAAATATGAAAGACAGAGGAATCGTATGTATCGCAGACTTCATGTGACGAACCCTAACCTAAAAGATCTACTTGGAAAAGCAGAAAGCTGCTCAATCATTTTCGCCTTTATAAAAGGTACTGGAAGATATAAAGAATTATAAAGTGTATTACAGCATTGTGTTGTTATCATTCTTGTGCTTTTCATGATTTTTTCTTCTTCATAAAAGTAACAGAGTGACGGAGGAGATGATGGACATACGAAAGCCTGAATAAATGATGGCAGCCGATTATTAAATGCGCATACTATTAAACATAAGACACATTATTTATCATTTACTGTATAAATTGACACCGAAACTTCATGATATTAATACCAACCAGCTCTAAGATTAGATGACTAAAAAATAATGAGTAACGAGCACATTAATCCCCCATAATCTTGCACTTTGCCAATAACAAAGGTCAAGATAAATCTTTATCTCACACACTGGGCAAGTATCAGAATCACAGAAACGTAGAGCAGCAGAAGTGAGACGCCCTCACGCCCTCACGCCCTCACGCCCTCACACACAGCCTGGCGGAAATCATCGGAATCGATGGATAGCGCCGATAAACCCAACAACAACAACAACAACAACAACAACAACCTTTAAGGAAATATGAACGTTCGGAGTTATGAACCTTTGGAATTATGAAAAATGGTTTGTGTAACTACTTGTTCGATTTTTGTTTTGTTTAGATTGTATCAGCAACCCTTGCGTGCACGGTGATTGCATTGAGACCAACTTTGACTACCTATGTCGTTGTCCGAGCAATTACAAAGGCAAAAAATGCGACCAACCAACAGGTAAAATTTTGAAGGCTAGTCAAAGATTTTTTTAATTTTTTTTTAATTATCATTATTATTATTATTGTTATCATTATTATTATCGTTACTGTTTTTTTTTTCTAAATGTTTTTGTTAGGAGGGGGGACCGGTCTTTGCTACCTGCAATCCAATAGGCATACCTTAGGTAAAACCGGACAAAGAACATTTTGGGAAATTTCGTGAAGTGACAAGATGGCGAAATTATGCACTTGTGGTTACCACGTCTATGGAAAGAGAGAGAGAGAGAGAGAGAGAGAGAGAGAGAGAGAGAACCCTTTTCTTATTCGTAACAGAAACTTCTAATCTGGGGGCGAGATCCTCCCCGGGATTGTTTCCTTGAACATCTCATAAGGAAATATGTGTAATAGACTTAGACCAAAGTTTGATGCTCTAAAATGTGCGTTTTTTTGTTGTTGTTATAAACCCAAAGTGTTTCATTCAATTTTAGTTTTAATTTACAGAGAGCTATCGTGAGTGTTACAATTTTCACCAGGTGCAATGTGATGTCAAATGATCATTTAACTAATAAATCAAAATTAATTATGTTTGTGTTTCTATAGGAGAACCGGTCATGTTTGTTTCAGATGCAGACAAAAGGATTTTCGTGTCAGCTCTCCCAGACCTCAATTTCACCGAATTCATGAGTCTGGAGATTAAACTAAAGAATTTCCATTTTGATTACTCAACTCAAACACTGTACTGGACCGACAATAATGGCACTGATATTTGGCGAACAGACCTCATCCGAAAAACGCCAGAAGCTGTTCCGAATGTACCCCAAGGCCCAGGTAAACAGGGTGACTCCCCTCCGACCCCCCCCCCCCCCCAACCAGAATAGCTTACTTTTAATATTGCAGGGGCGAATTTCACCGGTAACACAAGATGGGGAATCTTTGGGTAAAATTAAAATGATATCGAATTTGCAGAAACTGGTTGAGCAGTTGCTTTGTTCTAGACGCATTTTTATGAATCAAATTTGGAGACATTAATGACAGTGCAAACACAAACATTGCGGGACAGATATAAATATAACATCCTACTTGCATTTCTCTTATATATATCAGGTGATTTTAATGACTCGTTAAACACAAACGTGAAATTATACGAAATGTTACAGTGTCAGTGATACTGAACGAATTTGAACTATATCCTTTGAACGTATTATTCTTTCTTGAAAATGTCTGGAAATGGGACATTTTGATCTGAAAACCGGAGAGATGTGAGTTGGTCTCGTTTCTATGGTACGGTCAGCTCTCTTTTTTCGCCTACAAAATGATTCTGATAGGACCGAGATTCGAAGCTGACTCATGTTAATATATTTATAATCATTTTGATTGATAGACGTCTGTAACCCCTCCCCCCCCCCCCCCCCCCCATTATACTCATACACAGCATGGAAGGATAATGACGGGGTATCCAAGTCTTCAGCATTTATAAATATTATCACATCTAGTTCCAACTACATGCTTGAGCGAACCACCCCCTGCCACCACTACCTCCTAGGAAAATGTTCAATATATTTTTTGACCAGAAACACACATTATGGTTATTTTTCCCTTTGATTTGTTGTTGTTGCGCCTGTCTGAGAATTGTGTGGGGGTGTAAACTGTCCCCCGTCCCGACAACATATATTAGGGGCCTCTTCGTTAACAAATTCCTGGATATGCCCTTTGCGGGAGGGAACCCCCTTTAAATAGATTGTAAACCCTGGGTATTAAACTTAGATCTGTATTCATCCACAGGAACCATATTGGATGTGTACATCCCAGAATTGTCCCGGAAGCTCTTCGTCACCTACTATAGCCCGACAGGTAAAATCGGCGCCCTGTCTCTCGATGACGATCGCGTAGGAAATTACACAGATTTCGCCCTGGATATATATTACTGCAAAGCCATGGTTGCTGATGATGCCAACAAGTAAGCTTTATATTTGTTTGCAAGATATAAATTCCTTTAACGTAGTACAGTCAAACCTGTCTATATCGACCGCCCAAGAGAAACACAAAAAAATGGTCTTTGTAGACAGTTTCCTTTAGTAGGTGTTTCAATGAGAAACCATTTTCAAGGGAGAAAACAAATGTGGTCTTTGTAGATAGGTGATCACTAAATCAGGTTTGGCTGTAACTTCATTTGCCTTCTATTTCTTTAGTAACGTTTCGATGGGCCATATTAGCCATTTGGCAAAATCGTTGGGGTGCCACGAGTGTCTATCGGTGCAAATATTAGGTATTGATTAACAATTGTAAATTTGCCACGTTTTTTCTCCATGTCCTCAAATATTGATATGCCAGAAATCCAGTCTTAAATCAATCACAGAGAAGCAATATGTCAGAAAGATAGGAATACGAGGAAAGATGGTTGTGTAATAGAGAGTGAAGGAGGGGAATCGAACATATTGAAGATAAAGTTGAGTTCTGGTCGTGTGATTGTATTGTGAAAGAAACGTTGTGGAATCGATCAGAAAAGGTTGATCATCTAGCATACAAGTATTAGTGTGTACTGCAAGTTTCTGGAATCATCAAAGCACTAGGGGGGAGGGTTCATCAGTGTAGTTTCTTCTTTTCACACTTCCTTTCCCCTTTTCCTTCTGTTTCTCTCTCTATCATTTTTCCTTTTAGTATTCCCTATCTCTCTATTTGATCGGGGGAAGGGGTGCGTCCGTCTGGACTCCGAAGGGTAATTCTTCCAAAGGTTCAAGAACATGAATTTCCCATATACCAGGGAAATAAAGTTCATAGTTCCGTATATTTTATTGCATTAATCCGAGGTTCGTTAATACAAAGGTTTATAATTCCATAAGTGAAAAGGGTCCATTGTTCCGAAGGTTCATAATTTCGAAAATGAAATATGGTTCGTTATAACGAAGGTTCGTAATTTCGAGAAAACGATATCGAATTCCATGTCATTTTCGGAATTATCAACCCTAGTCCATTTTCGGAAATATGGACCTTCGGAATGATACACCTGCAGTGGAATTCTTAACCTTTGGAAAAGCGACATGTAACCCGTGCAAATATCCAAATATCCTCCCTCTAACTATGCAATGGTTGCATTTATGGATTTGTTTAAGCTATCTGTACTGGACCAGAAAAAATGGCATCGATCGTAAGCAACTTGATGGAACAGGAGAAACCGAAGAGGTGTACACAAATCTTGCCTTCGCAAGCTTCTCTGGACTCACATTCGACGCAGAAGGTAATATAGAATCCAAAGGCGTAAATCCAAGGGTAGGGGTAGGGGTAAACACCCCTCCCTAACTTTCTTTAGGGAGGGAGGGGTGGAATTTAAAAACGCATGCTATCCCACATTCAAAGTAAAGTTAAAGGAAATTTGATTTTAAAATAAATCAGTTGTTGAAAGTACTAATAAAGGTGACTCTAATATTGGTGACAATTTCTCTTTACAATGCTATTTAATTAAGGGAAATTCTGATTTGAATTTGGTTTGAATTTATTTCCGTATAAAGATAAGTACAATATTCGAAACATGACACAATATGTACACATACGAGATAAACGGTTGGATGACCCTGCTCAGCATCCACCAACATGGTGGCGCTGTTCCACCGAGGGATCCAGAATTTGATACAAATATATAGAAACAGGTATAGAAGGTCCTAAAATGAGTCTCTTTTATGGACAAATTCTCACATCCATCTCTTTGAGAGTCGTGTGTCAGATTGTGACACCCCTCCCCCTCTCCTCGACAAAGATTTACACTATACTAATAGAATCTAATTGTCATAGATCCTGTTCCGAAAAATCCGGCCAAACATGGAATTTTACCTATTAAAGTTACTTAAACCATGTCAGTCATAGACAAAAAAGTTGCCAGTCTAACTGTATCGTCGGGCTTAGACCCGGAATAAAAAAGTGGGTCAATTTTACCTCACCTGCTCCTATCATCAAACATATCGTACAATACACACCCTAACCTAACAAAATAGCTCCTCTGAGGGGTTGTCAGACGCTCCTTTATATTGGTTTCATGTTGTCGTTTATTGACCATGGACCAAATGGACCAATTATCACAAGGATAAAAGAGAGAGTATTTTTCATTTGGGAAGGAGGTGCAGTAGTTATGCTTCATGTGTTTAAGTTGCTTGTTTTTGTCCTTGTGAGCAGTCCGAAAGTTGGGGCACGCGATAAGTTAGTGCCAAATCGTTGACATTTTAACAGACCAACACAAAAACTTGTATTGATAGGCCTACCAGGGAGGTGTTTTACATACCCTGGGCCTACTTATCAATTTTTCTCATTTGTCATTTCTTTGCCTGTTCACATCGGTATGGTCGTAGGAGGTCGCATCCTGTTCTGCGATGGCAGTGGGAGAGGCCGTGCCTTCTATCAGGACGTATCCACGACCAGCGGGGAAATCGGTCCTGCTGTCGAGCTGACACCTGGTCAATCGGGGATCTCCTTAACATTCAATCCGAAGGATGTTGCCATCTTGAATGGGAAAGTCTATTGGCTTGACGTACCAGCAAAACTTGGAATCATGACCCATTACGATAATGTAGAAACACTCAGCTACACTGAGTATAATATTACAGCTTTCGAAAGTGTCCGTCGTTTGTGCATCGCATACGTAAACTAACAATTTACAGCCATAACCTAATCGGTTGCTTTAAAAAATTGAGAAACTGAGCAAAAATTCGTCCATATGTTCACGAAATGATGGTAGTGAATGAAAATCGCATACAATTTGCGTGCAGATTTTCCTCACTGCCGTCACTTCGTGAAAATAGGAACGAATTGTTTGAGGAAAACCAGACATTAACTAAAACTTTTGATGAACGTTTTATTAAATGTAGATCGCTATCTTATTTTCGCAAATTGTTATATGATTAACTCTGAATACAACAAGTTTCAAAAATATCCCCATTAGTGTTCATGAAAAAAAAATTCCGCTATAAAGGTCAAAAGACCGACTTTGGAATACCATGTTGGGCTAAATACACAAATCAGGTTTGTGTGGAAAATCAGATATTTAGGATACTATATGATATTAATATTATGCACCACAGCTGCTGAATAGGGAGCCTATATGACATCGCAGCCCCATTTTTTCTGCATGAATACCGGGCGATCTAGCACAGAAATTTGTATTTTCTTGGTGGCTTTTTGAAATATTCATGTTTTTAATGAGTTATAGAAATACAATTATTTTAATTGAATTGGACTGAAATTGTTACCGTTTCTTGTAAATATAAACAATTTTTTTTTTTTTTTGTATCATTCAGATAATTTTCCATGAGTTGCGATTTGTGAATACTTCTTTTAATAGCACGAACAGCACGAAAATCCATTCCATATTAAGTGATACAAGGTATCAGTATGCACCTATTTATTAAAAGGGATGTAACATGACGAGACTAAGTGTCTTTCCCGTGGCCTGACTATAGGGGCCAAGTGGTTACGGACGACGCGCCCGCCATATTCACGTGCGTGCAACATACGCGAAACCGAAGCGTGAGGAGAACTAATTCGGTCTGTTTCGCGAACGCTATAGCGCGCGCTGACCTTTATAATCAAGTCCATTCGTTTACGTGCGTTTGTCAAAAAGAAGATGTAGATGGCGTTAACCAGTGTTTGCCATGCTACACCCCTTTTAAGTAATCATGCTTGACCCTTAAGGCCCGGTCTCACCGCCAGAACTTTGCTGGAGCGTTCCTTGAACGGTAGGGAGAGGGGGCCGAATTTCGACAACGCTCGTCACCGCGCACAAAATGGGAAACAAATCGAAAATACGGGCGTTGCCTTAGCGGTGCACCGCTGAAGCCGGCGTTGCTTTAGCGATGGTTTAACGGTAGCGAGCGGTAGTGAGCGTTGGTCCCGCTCCGACACCTCCATACCAACGCCAAACCAAAGTTCATCACCGCAATGGATCGCTGCTTCAGGCCCGACACCGTTCCAGCAATCCCGTGTCCGCTCGTAAAACGCTTACAACCGCTCCATGCACCAAAGTTTGTGCAACGTTTAATCACCGCCCGGGCAAAGCTGGCGAAGCAGCGGTGGTCCAGCGTTCAAGATTTCTGCGTTGGTAGCGGACCAAAGCGTCCACGAACTTGCGTCTAGCGGTGCCAAACTGTGACTGGGCGTTGTTGGAGCGGTGGTGAACTTTGCCGGAGCGGAAATTGCCCGCTCCTCACCGCTCGCAATATTTTGTGCAGCTCAAAACTTTCGGAGCGGTAGGAGGGACCATCAGCGGTGGCCGAGCGTATACGGCGTTGCCTTAACGGGGGCCAACTTCTGTTAAACGGTGGTGAACGGTTACGAGCGGTGATGAATTTTTTTCACCGCTTCAGGAACGCTCCAGCAAAGTTCTGGCGGTGAGACCGGGCCTTTAGCCACTGTACTTCCGCGCTCAACAACCAGGCTGAAGTTAAACCGCCTCTCTCTCTCGTGCATGCAGCCCCAGCGTTTTTCAACCGGGATGCCGCCTGCACATAATTTATGAGATGTCTTGCCGCCCCCCATGCGCGCGCAACCAGTGTACACTGTATTGGGGTGCGGCAAGACTGCCGCGAGAGAAATAATATAGATCTGTGAAGGTCGGGTGACATCCAAATATAAATTGATTCATGTTGATGTGCAGGGCTGTATAGTGCATATAAATTCATATTTTGTTATTCATACATCTAAATATATTTCAAAGATGTTTTAATATTTTGTAAATCATTTTCTCAGACCTGCTAAGCTCCACCCAAAAATGATCATTGACAGATGTCATGATGTCACAAGATACATGAGATCTGGAGCATTTTTTTTAGGGTGGAGCTTATGACAGCCCATGACAGCTAGGTCTGAGAAAATGATTGAAACAAAATATTTGACGTTTAACGTTTAACGATGTTTAGCGACAATTAGCAACATTAGTGAGCGAATGTTTGCAAATGTTAGCGACAGTTTTTCCGTAGATTCAGGGGCGGATCTAGCTTTTTGCTAAGGGGGGGGGTTGACCAAAATAATGACGATGCGGAGCATCGTCCACGAGCCGCGAAGCGGCGAGCCGATTTTTTTTTGGGGGGGTTTATTTGAACCCCGTAAGTGATGTTTTCCTGGCATCTATTAACACAATGGAGACCATAAAAAGCAGTGCATGATAACGTCTTTTTAAATCAAGTAACAGTTAAATACACAGTTATATCCAGAGTTATCATGTGTTTGGTTAAGTTACCAGATGAGTTGAATATCTTCTCACAATATTTGCACTTGAAAGGGTTTCTCTCCAGCGTGCGTTCTTTTTTCTTTCTTTTTTTTTTTTTTTCCCCCTTTTTTTTTTTGGGGGGGGGCGCCCAAGGGGGGGGGTTTAAACCCCCTAAACCCCCCCCCCCCCCCCGTAGATCCGCGCCTGAGATTAGCAACTATTTGCCAATCCTTTGCCACCCAGTCTGTGAATGTTTTGGACCTTTTGCTACTCCCGGTAGCGTACTGAATGGGTCTATTTTTATATAGGAATCGCATGGTCGAGTGGTCGCTAGCATATTTACGTTAGTTTACGTTAGACGTGGAAAGCCAGACAAAAATTAATTACAAAGAAATCTTAAGTAAAATTAAAAAGCTGCTTATGTGGTGGAAACAAAGAGATTTGACTTTGATGGGGAAAATTCAACTAATTAAGATTTTTGTTCTATCGAAATTAGTATATGCATCATCACTCACACCTGTACCGCCGTGGGCATTCCATGAAATTGAAGTGTTAATATTTGATTTTTTATGGAATGGAAAATCAAACGGAGTACTATGTTTTTAGATTACGATAAGGGAGGTCTTAAATTGACAGATTTTCAATTATTTATTCGAACACAAAGAATCATGTGGATGAAAAGACTTACAACAGGAGATTCAAATATGATTTGGAAACGTTATTTTAAATACCTGACTAGAAAAAATGGCGGCCTCTTGATATTTTTCAGTAATGTATCGCCAGATTTACTTGCACTGTCATTACCAGATTTTTACCGTAGCATGCTAGAGGCTTGGCTGGGGACAAAAGCCTTTTTGCTTAAGAACGAAATTTCAAAAAGAAATCAAATGATTTACAATAATAGATGTATCCGCATTCAGGGGCAAATATATTTCCATGAAGACTTATTTCAGAAAAATGTATTTAAAATACATCATATTGTTGATAAGAAAGGTGAATTGAAATCTATCACATTATTTAAGAAAATAGGTTTAAACAACATTGAAATAAATATAATAAAACAGTTATATGAAGGCATTCCATTCTCATGGAAAATTATTTTGAATATATATGAACATCCTTGTGAGGATATCGAATTAAGTTTAGAATTTATTATTAACGGAAACCCTCACTCTTTGCAAGGCTTAACATCAAAATATATCTATAGTACATTGTTAAAAATGAGAACGGAAAAATCTTATGCTACATGCAACTTAGAACGTACATACAATATGGTCGAACAGGACACGAGAACAATTTTCTTAAGACCCCGAAAATCCACTCTAGACAGAAAGCTGAGGGAATTTCAATATAAAATATTATATAATTTAATTTATACAAATAAGCATCTATACACTTTCAAACATGCAGTGAGCAATCTTTGCTCCTTTTGCAATAAACACGAAGAAACCTATGAGCATCTGTTTTTTACCTGTGAAAAGGTAGCAAATATTTGGAAGGACTGCGGTGACCTTTTTGCTTTATCAGCGTTAAAAAATCTACACTGGCAAGAAATTCATATCGGGATAAAAAGATCCAATGCGGGAGAAGAACAACTGTTAAATCACATTATTCTTTTAACAAAACAAATGATTTTTAAATATAGTTCAACTAAAAATAGACCCCCAATTCCTCAAAAAATTAAAACAAGAATTATAGAAAATAGGCAAGAAGAAAAAGAATTAGCGGGGGAGAGAGGCACTTCACTTCAGAAAATGGGACAACTTCCACAGTTAAGGACGGCGAGGCAAATACTTCTTTCTCAGACTCGGACTTTTTTTTTAAAGATATATAATTTGGTCTTAAGGAAAAGGAAGAGACACTTCCAACAAACATGTAGATGTGAATGCTCGGGAAGGGAGGGGGATTTGTTGAGCTCTGGAATGAAGGGGGGAGGAGGATATGTAAGTTTGTATGTGTGTCTGAGTATGTGAACGTGTGTGGTGTGTCTGTCTGTCTGTAGGTGTCTCTTTGATTTATAATATTCTTTCAGTATAATTAATTTGAAAACACTGTGTATTAAACTATCTTATGTATTTTTTGAGAGATGTACAATTTTCTTTATATTTTGATATGTTATGTAAATCAATGAAGCTGTATGTTTGTTTGTTATATATTTTGTACTGAATGAATACAATAAAATAATGCTACAAAACAAAAAAAATATTGTTATGGCTAATCAAAAATAACTTTAGCGACACCGTCTCGTTTGCAAAAGGAGTAAAAGTGGTTTGCATTCCCAAATTTACAGTCAGGCAAAAAATATGCTATTTTGAAGCCTATGTGTCAGAGCCTCCAAAACGGCGGGGCTCGGGGGCACGAGCCCTAAAGAGAAAAAGAAAGAAAGAACGAACGAGTGATCTGCCAGTGTCACAAATGAGGTATCAAAATATGCTCATCTGACAGCAATTACATGCCTAAAACCCCTGAGCTTACGGGGGCTCCGCCGCCTGGTCCCCACCAAGGACCCTAAGGCGGGCCCCTGGATTCTCATCTGACCGCCAAATGCATCTAAAACCCTCATGGGGCTCAGCTACCTGGACTCCCCCACCAATATAAGTGACCTGCCGGTGTCACAAATAAGGTATCAACATAATTATGCTCATGACTAAGCTTAATTAAATGCATACAACCCCTTGAGCTTCATATCGGGGGCTCAGCCCATGGATCCCACGCCAATTTACGCTTCACTCGCTATGCTCCTGACCCGGCCCAAACGCTTTTGCTCATTACGCCACTGCCCCTAAAGGTGAGCCCTCTGGAATCAGGTGTGCCCCCCCCCCCCGGCCCCCGTCCCAAATTGCTTCTGGCGCGCGGCTGGACAGGGGTGGGGTGGTGTGTTTGGTTACTGCTGCCACCCCTCCACATTTTCCCATTACTTTGGTGTTCAACAGGGAGAGTTCTGACACTCTCCCTGGTTCTAGTTTATAATCTGTTCATTCATATACACTTTATTTTTTCTCAAATGGATCAAAAAGTATTTGTCATAAGTTGTAGAATATGAAAAAATGAATTAAAGATATTTTTTAAATATAAGGTGGCGTGAAGATTGTTTCTCCTCATGTACAGCATGGGTTTAGAAATAATTTATATAAATCTTCTCATTTTATTTGCTCCAATAGTACCCAACTGTCACACTGAAAAAGGTCTAGCGACACCCCTGCCCTTCAGTCATTTGGAGAAGAAAAAGTAGAGCCTAAAAAAAATAAAGCAACAAATAGTAATGGATCCACCTCGAACATAAACCCAAAACCAAACCACACAAATTAATCAGGGGGAAATCTAGAAATGTTCATGGCCTTGGAGCGAATGAGCTCGACCCGTTTCACGACGCGCCGCGGCGCGCGCGGGCCGAGTTGTATGGAATCCCTCGTACCATTTATTTGTTTACGAATACATGTATCTACGTATACTGAGCAAAAATGGCTCAAGATTTGTCTGAGGAAGAATTGAGGAGACGGTTCGATGAGGAATTCAATTTAGAAATCGAAAACCTCCTTGGAATGGGTAAGCAAGAGCTTTTATATGATGAATGAGGTCTAAAAAAGGATGGTGATGAAAATCGCGTCAAATCTATACTAGGTAGCCGCTTGTGGCCCCATATACTTTGATTGGTGTAGGCCTAGATCTAGTGAGTTTGGGGCAAACTAAGAATTCTGAGTAACTCCGGGAAGCGTTATTTTTTTATGCGGCACAGATTGGGACATGGTACGTGTTGAGCCTATGGGAAGTACGTTCTTTCCCTTCTGAATAGTGTCTGCACATACGTGAGACTAGGCATGTTCGCTAGCGCATTAGCGCTGCGAAGAAGTTTGAATATCCATCGTGAACTATGCTTGTGTTTAGATAACATTCCTCTTCGTTTAAGTTAATTAAGTTTTATTGACTAATTATTGTGATGTTCTCCTTATTGATGTGCTGCCTCCTCTTCAGATTTCCAATTGCATTTTAATTGTTGATGTAATGATTTTCCATACGGTAGTGGATTACATGTAACACTATTAAAAACAGACCTCTACTACTAGTACGCACACGACCACTATTAGTCTGTAAATCAAGAACCCTTTTTAAAAAAAGCCCCAATCTGTGCCGCTTAAAAAAAGATCCAACACCGGCACCGCAGGCGTCGGAGCTTCGGTTTTACTTTCGTGGGGGCTAGTAAAACAGCCGATGGGGCGACATTATCGTTAAATCTGCAAAGGGAGTACTTACAATTTTGTCTTCATAGGTTGCTCGACTCCTCTTAGTCTGAGCATATGGATGACCACTTGAAATTATAATTTGTAGAAGTCTTCGATGGGGAAAAAAAGGGTTATTCGGTCTCCTACACCAACGATTCTTCCATGTTGCAGCGTCGAGTCAAAATGGCGAAGAGAAGGTACGCATGCGCGGCAGTGGCGCAGAAAATATGAATATTCATGCTATCGAGCGCCGATCGTTCGAAATTGCTGAATATGTATGACTCGAACAAACAGAGCGGTGACTGTAAACACCCTCGGCTTTCTCAACCTCGTGCATATTCAGCGATTTTAACATGCATCGTTTTCATATCGTGCATTTGTGTGTTACGTGAGTATTGACTATTCATGTGTGCAACTGCTGCCTAGTAGTATAAGCATGTAGTTCAGCGCTAGAGGTCAATATGCATTAGCAATTTAGCATTGACTCTCTATGCTGGAGTGGTGGTCACCCGGCATCCGTCCGAATTTGGAAGTGTCTGATTCAGTATGGTATATGTGTGTGGATCTTCTTCTTATTCTTTTGTTATAATTTGATGGCAGTCATAGACCCTACTTGACTATTGTTGACTTTATTATTACTTTTTTTTTCTCCTCTGACCAGTTATGTTACCTTTTTGCACTAATTCATTGCTTGTCTTAATCCATACACATCGTTCAATGTTCACCACTCAAATGTATTGGTCGGGATATGTTGCACTTGACAAGAAAGGGTTTAAAGGCATGTGCTTTATCATTTTACATGTATGATGCAGGTCAACGTAAGCCAGCCCATATCAATATGTCGTTGATTGCAAAGAGAAATCTACCTGAATCAACGGTGCAAGGATCAGGAGATGAGCTGTGAGTATTGCGATGAAATTAATACCATCTACATATTAAGGAAGGAGGAGAAGAAAGATGGAAAGGAAGATTGGAGGAGGGAGAAGAGGGAGGAGGAGGAGGATAGAGAAAGTAAGGGCAACAAAATAAGAGAAACAAAAGGAATAGAAAGAAGGAAGGAAGGAAGGAAGGAAGGAAGGAAGGAAGGAAGGAAGGAAGGAAGGAGGAGGAGGAGGAGGAGGAGGAAAGAAGAGGGTGAAGAAGAAGAAAGAAGAGGGTGAAGAAAATAGCAGCAGCAAAAGAAAAAATAAAATGTAAATAAGAAGGAAAGGTGGGTGGAAAGGAGGCCAAGACAAAGGATGAGAATGAAGAGGAAAAGAAAAAATTGAAAGGAGGATAGAAAAATAGAACCGCAGCAGCAGCGGAAGTTGTAGTATAACTGTATGGGTACTAGTAGTAGTAGTAGTTGCAATAGTAGTTGTAGTAGTAGTAGTAGTAGTAGTAGTAGTAGTAGTAGTAGTAGTAGTAGTAGTAGTAGTAGAAGTACTTGTAATATTAGTTGTAATAGTAGGAGTAGAAGTAGTAGTAGTAGTAGTCATGTAGTCGCTGTATTAAATAGTACAAGTAGTAGTTGCTGTAATAGTAGGAGCAGTAGTAGTAGTTACCAAAGTGAAAAGAAAGGAAGAAGAAATTTGATAAGAAATATAAGAAAGACAAACAAAAGAAAGACTGAAGTAGCAAAGCAAATTTGAGAATATTATTCAAAGTTCTGTGTTGTTCATCAATCTATCAATTTTTAGTAATGAATTTTTTTTTCCTTCACCAGTATTGCAGGCTTGATGAAGCTGACCCATGTGCGACTTGACAGAGAGAACATCACAGAGATTGATAACCTTGAGATGCTTGGACCTGTAACCAATCTTTATCTCCAGCAAGTATGTAATATCTGAGCAGAATTGTATAATAAAGTTGTGCTATATACCAGCTCAACCAACTCAACAATGGCTCAACATTCAATTTCTATTAATACAATGTATGAACAAATTATAAATATTACCTATACATGAAAAGGGGGAAGGGACAGAGCTCAGCTGGCAAATATTGGGCAAGAATAGGCAAGGGAAAAATTATTTCAGAATACGTTGGTGCATAAACTCTGAAAGTGGAAAGTTGTTGACCTAAAAACTAGGTAATGACTTGATGGCATCATCTTATGAGTATGCATATTCACATTGACTTTGCATCAATTAAAGGTAAAGACCAGTTTTGAAAACGCCCCTCTCTCAAAAAATGAAATGGAAGCTCTTATTACCAATCATGTGAAACAATATGTTTTGACTAATACGTGATGCTACATGTACAAAGTTTGCAGAGAAGCTGCCTACTTATTGATATATTTGGTAAATTAGTATATCGATTTGGACCTGATAGATATAACGCACGTGTAGTGCACATGTGCGTAGTCCCATATACATCTTTCTGTGTACGGTGCTTTACCAAGACTGGGTCAAATTTCTTATCATTGTGATGATTCCAGAACATTGCAGTACACACCAATACTTATATGCTAGATGATCAACTTTTTCTGATCGATTCCACAACGTTTTTTTCTCAATGCAATCGCATGACCATAACTGATCTTTAGCGTTAAGCATGGCTCCTTGCCTCAGCTATATAGACGAGTCAATCAGGTGCACATGTTATGTCGTCACTGTACCTGCGGCAAATTAGACACCTGTTGGATGTTGGCTCTTTTGTTGGCATTTTCGTGTTGCTTATATTACCCCCAATTAGCCGGCTCATGTATTGTTATTTTTAATGAAATAATTAAATAACGGTCACTGTTTTTTTTAAAGTGGAGCTGAATTGGTAAGATCGTATTGGCTAAATTTCACACATTTGGGGGTCTAAATTTAACTTCATAGCAATTTTAGGTTCTAAAAGGGCAATATTAATGTTATAGATAAGAATAAGAGCAATAACCATGCACTTTGAAGGCATTTGCGGTCTGAAAACAGAACTCAACTATCCCTTTAAAAAGAGAATATGCAATGCTGTATGTAATCAGACATGTATATGGCTGTCCCTGAACTAAAATAGGACTATTTTAAATAATCTATACTTGATGGCCCCCAGCAATGGCGGCTGACAGTGAGCGTGCACTTCATATGTTCAGCTCTCTCTCTCTCTCTCTCTCTCTTTGAATTGGTGTATAAACTACATCTACTGTCAAGCCTGTCTAAAGCGACCGCCCAAGGGAAACACAAAAAGTGGTGTTTGTAGACGGGTTCCTTTAGTACATGTTTCAATGAGAAACCATTTTCAAGGGAAACAAAAAATGGGCTTGTTGTAGACAGGTGGTCTTTGTAGACAGGTGGTCACTAAGGCAGCTTTGACTGTATCTATAAACTGCATCATCTCCCTCCATTCATTATCTTTCAGAATTCCATTGAGAAGATAGAGAACTTGGAGTGTCTTACTGCTATTCAGTTCCTCACCCTGGCCGGGAATAAGATACACAAGATTGAGAACTTGAAGATACTCGATACCCTCAAGCTCTTAGATCTCTCCGATAACAAGATTGCAGAGTTGTCAGAAGGTAATAAAAATAATCAGGATATTCATAGCACTTAATACAAAATACTGTCTCTCTAAGTGCCTTACAGATGTTATTACCCCGGTCATCGGATTTATTCACGCACAATGTGCACCATCCCCACTGCATGGAGAGTATTCCTACCATAAAGTAAATGTGAGTTCATATGGCAACTACTATTAAAGATAAAGACCAGTATTGGAAACGCCCCAATTTCAAAAAATGAAATTGAAGCTCTTTATTACCAATCATGTGAAAGAATTATTTTGACTAATACATGATGATAAAAATTTTGCCGGTAAAACCGCCTACTAATCGATATATTTTGTAAATTAGTTTATTTATTGGACTGTGAGAGATAAACGCATGTGTCGCGCGCGTGTGCGTAGTTCCATATACATCTTTCTGTGTACAGTGCTTGTAACTTTACGAAGACTGGGCCAAATTTCTTATCATTTTGATGATTCCAGAACCTTGCAGTACACACCAATACTTATATGCTAGATGATCAATTCCACAACGTTTCTTTCACAATACAATCGCATGACTATAACTGGTCTTTATCTTTAACACAAAGGCTTTCGTCATCCTACCAGGTCCCCATTTCTCTTGCAGAGCCAATGAACTGATTAGATTTTAGGGTCATGAGGTCAAAAGTCATAGGGCTCAGTATTTATGAACATAAATAACTTGTGAATGCATCATCATCAGAACTGACAGATGGATTACTATCAAACTATAAATAGCTCAAAATCACAATATTCTGAGAACCTGTTAATGGATCACAATCAAACTTGAATTTTAAAAAATTGCTTCCGTATTGGTTTGTAAAATCGCTCGATGGCGGAGGCATCATTCTCAACTGCGTGCAGTCGAATTTCCATCTAGTTTCCTTCCATAATGAATTATCAAAAAATGTAAATTCTGTAGATTTGTGACCATGATTTGTACGTCTCTTGAGGATCCAATGTCAGTAAACGGTGAGAGCAAACAGTGGCATGAACTGCCTGCCATAGTTAAGTCCAACTTAAAGTCAATCTCAGTTTTTGACTTAGTGCCATTGACAGAGTATTAAAGCATGGTGATATGATTTCAATCTTGAACAGTTCACATAGCAATATCTGCTTTGACATTTTCTTTTTGTTTTCTTTGTTTCATTAGAAGAGCTTCCCAAGTCCTTGGTGTTCCTGGATGTAAGAGGGAATCCTTGCAGAGACCTTCCAGATTACAGGTACGTGGCTACAAAGAGCACCAAAAGAAAACAGGGGGTGTTTCACAAAGATCCTAAGTTGAACTTAACTCTTAAGTGAGCTATTTGTAGCCTTCAAATAAAATATATTCAAAAGTGAAAGTTCAAGTATTTTAGACTTTTTGTAAATTCCACATCAAGAACATAAAATCTCCTTGAGAAAATATGAATGAATCAAATCAACATTTTATGCCTTTTAAAAATAACTTTTACAAAACATTTTCATAGATGCTAACGGCTTTCCATAATTGTTAAGTCCAACTGAGAGATAAGTTCAACTTAGAATCTTTGTGAAACACCCCCTGGACTTGTAGCTGCCCTCCAAATGTAATCATTAGGGTTTTCTGATGCAAAATTTCCATGCAAGTAAATGTGAATACGTCATGAGTAAGCTAGCTCTGCAATAGAGTGGTGAAGTGTGACGTCATCAAAAAAAAATATATAAATTTTTAGAAAAAAAAATTTCTTCTTCATTTTCCGAAAGAGCATCAAAAATAATGTCCACATGTCGAAAACCAATTGAATATGTCAAGTATTGTCTGAGATATGACCATCTGAATAAAAAGATTGCCTATGGGAACTCAGTGTTATATGCTCTGGCGCCTAACCGTTAAAAGCCAGAGCATATGATTTTTATGATGTCACAGCTTCGGTACTCTATAGCTCTTTGACCTGCCTCTCCTTCTTTGTGGTGGAATACTGGGACCCATTTCACAAAGCCTTTTTTCAATGACAAATGACAAATATCAATGACAAATCTGTTGATAACCAATCAGAAGCAAGGACTTCAGTAGCTTGTAACAACAACTGTCATTTGTCCCTGATGACAAGTTTTGTGAAACACCCCCCCCCCCCAGGACACGACTTCTTGCAGCCCTTCCAAACCTGAAGCAGCTTGACAACGAGATGCTGAGTAAAGATGTAAAGAGAGCAGCCGGTCATCCCGTATCTAGCGATGAGGAGGAGGAGGAGGAGGAAGATGAAGGAGATGGAGATCGTAGCAGTGGTCAAGATAATGTTCAGATAGATGGTGAGTTATAGATAGATATGATTGTATTAAAGCCCCTCTGCACTAGTTTGGTATGGAGGGATTAGACCTCCCTGCAAGGTCACTGGCAGGTGGTTATCTCATCGAATCAGCTCTCAATTAACATAAGAAAAAGGGCATCATGGGGGATCGACGGGTACCTCTTAGGCATTGTTGGCTGTATAGAGCGCGCAAGTAGCTATAAGTAGTGCAGTGGGGCTTTAAACTGCCATGTTAGATTTTTCAAAAGTATATTACGCTTCTAGCTCTTAGTATCAATACCTCACGGAAAAGATACAATAAAGAAGTACTGGGGAGCCTTTAGCTATTTAAGTCTGGAAAGCTCTATAAGAACGATTGGAGCTCTGGTAAGAATGAAGAACAAAGAGAAAGAAACCAAGAGATTACAGCTGACGAAATCTCACTTTTCCTTTAGAGAATTTTTAGAGAGCTTCAGTGAATAGAAAGGAAAAATTCTGCAACTGTTGCCTCAATTATGCAGTAACATTCTAAAAGGATTACTGCTGCTTGTAGGTTATGTATTACATTGTGCAATTTGTTTCGTTTGTTGGATGAAAGATGATGAGAAATTCAATGATTTTGAATCTCTCAATGTGTTTCCGATTTAAGGTTTTTAAAGTTTATTTTCCTTTTTTTTTTTAACTCCTGGCGTCGAACACAACTTTTTCATGGAACACAAATGGATGCAGTTTATGCCAAAAAATTGCCCCTTATACTTGTGTATATATGGCAAATTTTGTAGGGCTCTGAATCGAAAAGTTAAGGAGCCAAACCGCAAAATGTAGAATGATTGTTGCCACAGGGTTAATGATTTTTCATCCTTTCAGTTTTTAATGACAATTAAAGGTAATAAAAAGTTTTGGTATGGGGTCATGAATTTGGTTTAAATGAACATATTGGAAGCATATGCAATCCTACAATATTCAATGATCGTTGTCGCGGTTGAAATCGAGTCTAAAGAGATGAAATTGTAAATAATAAACGCTTTATGTTGTATAGCTCACTCTCAAGGTCAAGATATTAATTTAGCTATAAAACCATGTTTCTTGACTAAAATCGACCAATTGGCTATTCCCGTTTGGAAATTATATATCACAACTACATATTCTGAGATTTTCATGGTCACAGCTACCATTGTTGGGCCATAAGGGCTATTTGAAATTTATCAAAATATACCGGGAGCAGCGGTAAATTTCGATATTCAATTTTCCTCGAAAGCAGAATTGTTTTAGGGGCTAAATTTTCTAGTGCTTATAATACATCCACAGGGGCATCCAAATATATCAAAATTGTAATGAATCATTATCCAGCCAATTTGTAAAAATTCCAGAAACTTTGTATTACCTTTAACAAACTATCCTTAAATAAAAGATAACATAGTATTCCAAATGGACCACCGGTTTTTAAGTTGCCTGACTTGTTCCCGCTAATTGCAACTGCGGGCTGATGAAGACGCAAATTAGCTGGATAATTTGCGATCCGGATAGTTGAAATAGCAGGTTAATTGGCAAACTCGAGCTGATGAGGTCATGCCTAATTAAGGTAAAGTAATGTTTAGTTCCATCTGTCATTGGTCTGGTTGCGCAATCTCTACATTGAAATGGCACTGGCAATCACAAATAGCATTTATCTCTTTTTTTCTTTTCTTATTCTACTCTCTGCTAATAATTCTGTTTCATTTACAGACGTTTTCCGCTTGAGTGCAGACTTAATCCACCGGTCGCGAGAGAGGGCGTCCCAGTATACCGATCAGCATGACCGTCACATGCTGCAGATCGAGGAAGTCCGCAGCCAATCGCGGCAGGCCATGGAAACGGCAAGGTCAAGTCTGGTGTCGCCACGATCGCCCAGAGAAAAACAGCGCCAGCTTACCCCCTCTCCAGCATCCAGATAGGGACGGTGTAACAACCGTGTATAGCTTTTATAAGGCCAAGGAAACTTAATTCCTAGTTTCTTGTTCTCTTGTGCTTCCTTTTTTGTCACTTGATACTTCTGTTTTGAAATGAAGAAAAAAAAATATCTTATTAAATTCCTCAAACAATGAGGTAACAAAAACATTGACCTGGCAGGGATTAATTCCTTGAAATGCTAGAGCGCCGTAATGGCAGCACAGCTAAAGCCGGGATAATAATCTCCAAGTTGCGAAGCGCTGAGTGATTGTAATAAGCGCTATATAAAAACTGAGTATTATTATTATTATTATTATAATATCTTACCATTTTCATTTCGTTTTGAAGCCTCTGAAGTCTGTACTCCATTTTCATGTGCAATTTTGTCAAGAAAATTGGTGTTGAAATCGACCTCATAGGAGGTGTGTGTGGATAAATTATCAGATATCAAACTTGAGGACAAGAAACGGAGTATTAATTTTGCTTGGCCTAATGTAAATAGAGAGAGACTACAGGGAGATTCCATAATAACAAAATAGCTTATAATGAGGAAGTGCGTGTCATGAAAAGAGTGAAGAATGACTTAGTGCCACCTTTGTATCATTCCATTATTTATAATTCATGATGCGAATAAGAAATGTGTTCTCAAATAGTGTTTTTGTGGTTGTTAAAGCCCCCCACTGCACTACTTAGCTACTTGCTCCCTCTATATAGCAAGCAATGCCTAATCGGTGCCTGTTGGTCCCCCATGATCCCCTTTCTCTTATGTTAATTGAGAGCTGATTTGATGAGATAACCACCTGTCCAGTGACCTTGCAGGGAGGTCTAATCCCTCTTGACCAAACTAGTACAGACAGGCTTTCAGACTTTGTTGTAATGGAGTTTACCCTGTAGTGTATTATTTAGCAGTCTTGTAAATATGGAGACAAAAGTTTGTTGAAATCCTTGTGTGTTTTTTTCTTTTTCACCAAACATGGTCAAAAGTTATTGTTACTGGTTGTTATTCATTTTCTCTTGTTTTGAAAATCAGTATCAGTCATGCTGTTTATTCATTAAAGCCCATCTGTACTAGTTTGGCTAGGAGGGATTAGACCACACAGGAAGGTCAATGACAGGTGACTATCGTATCAACTCAGTTCTCAATTAAAGGGGAAGTCCACCCTGAAATTAAGTTAGTTTTAATAGGAGTAGAAAAATGAGAGAAACAAGTCAGTGAAAGTTTGAGCAAATTCCGATTAAAAATAAGGAAGTTAGGATTTTTGAAGTTGTGATCAATCAAACACAAATTGGCAACTCTATGACGTATCATGCGAGCTCAACTTCCATTTGCTCAGTACTAAAAAAATCTAAAATTTTCATTTTCCCTCAAGAAAAATTTCAACCATACATGCACCCTAAATATAATAATTGCAAATATGTTTCTATACTCCCCCTGCAAGGAACAAATATATATTCCGTCATCAATAACGAACAAAACATGATTTTATGGAATATTATGCACAAAGCAAATGAAGGAGAGCTCGTATAATAAGTCACAGAGTTGCCAATTTGTATTTGATTGATCACAACTTCAATAATTCATAACTTTCTTATTTTCATTCAGAATTTGCTCAAACTTTCACTCACCTGATTTTCTTATTATTCTGCCTCTATCGAAACAAACTTATTTTGGGGGTGGACTTTCCCTTTAACATGAGGATTAACAAAAGAGGATCATGGGGGACCAATTGTCACAGATTAGGCATTGTTTTCTATATAGAGGGAGCAAGTAGCTACAAGTAGTACAGTTGGCCTTTAAACATGATTACAATCACTCGTTGTCAGCAGGTGATTATTTGTAAACAGCGGTAACGGCTTTTTGTGACCACTTGCATTTGAGAGACCACATTTTCTGTTTTCATTGAATAGTGGTTCTCATGAAAACATAGACACCTGTATATAAAGACCACCTGCATATCAAGACTGCTTCACTTGTCACCTTGAGTGGTCTTTGTATACAGGTTTCACTGTATATGTGTGTCCATGCATGGTAAGCTTTTCAAATATCATTCGTAGGCCCAATGTCTATCCCATTATACATTGGGAAATAAATGCATTTCGTTGCTCATACTTGTGGTATAAAGTGGTAAAACTATGCAATATTAGTCTCGGGCCTATTTATCCTGCGATATGTGCATGATAATGTCCCATGTTTATAGTATTCTATTTATTTTGTGTTTCTCTTTTGAATTTTTTTTTTCTTCATCACCTTGAAAATGTGAGATTAAAGAGACATTAAAAAATAATTTGTTTATAGCAGAGCAGAGGACTAAGTTTAGTCGACCAGTTTACTATACATGTATTTCAAATGTTTGCAATTTATATGGGAAACTTTAACATTGACATAGAGGGGACTAAATTCCAAGACCAAATTACCTGTACATGTGTACCAGTATTCAATTTTATGCAACTTTCTCAACTACAATTACTTTTGCTGACAGGAAAAATCGCCCGAAGCTTTTTTAATGTTTTAACGCAACAAAAGTAATATATGAAATTTAAAGTTTTTCCAGGAGAATGAAAGAAGCTTATCATAATGATTTCAGGGAAGATGAATTTGAATGCTCATACCGGTAATACATTCAAACCTTCTTTAGCAACCACCTGTCTATAAAAACCACATTTATTGTTTCCCTTGTATATATTGAAACCTGTACTAAAGGAACCTTTACATGAAGACCACCTACATTTCCTTAGAGTGTTCCTCATATACTATTTTCACTGTAGGTTGGTCCGATATGACTTTGTTATCGATGTACATATACTTGTCTTTTTACAGTTGTGCTAAGAATGAATTCACCAGAAAAAAACAAAAGAACTATTATAGTCAAACCTGCTTTAGTGACCACCTGTTTACAAAGACGACCTGTCTACAAGGACCACATTTTTGTTTCCCTTGAAAATGGTGTCTCGTTGAAACATGTAAAGGAACCCGTCTACAAAGACCACCTCTTCTACAAAGGCTACTTTGTGTGTTTCCCTTGGGCGGTCGCTGTAGACAGGTTCGACTGTATTATGATGAAATTTGTTTTACTACTTGTATTCTCAGTAGTTTGTTGTACTGAGCATTTGGTTGGCTGCCCGCAAGGCCTTTGTAACTGCCATAGACAATACATTCCTCCTATGGCCTTCTTGACGGCAGCCAATCATTTATATATTTATATTGCTTGTGACCATCCTTTGTGAATCGTTTCCGTCCATAATATTTATATCTGAATAAATTAAATGAAATATTTGATACTTTAAGAAGTCTTCCTAAATGTCTCATTGTATCTCGTATCTGCACCCATCTCTATAATATATCTCACCCCCTTATCTCTCTCTCTCCCTTCTCTCTCTCTCTCTCTCTCTCTCTCCCTTCTCTCTCTCTCTCTCTCTCTCTCTCCCTTCTCTCTCTCTCTCACCCCTTCCCCCTTCCTCTCTCTGTCTCTCTGTCTCTCACTATCCTTCCTTCTCTCATTCTCATTCTTTACTTGTCTAAGTTTGTCTGTCCCACTTTCTGTGGTCATGCTTACACCTTCTTTTTTTTGGGGGGGGGGGGGGGGGGAGGGGGTACTTGTGTGTAAATGGGAGAAAGAGAGAGAAACACACAGATGAGCAAAGAGAAAAGTGGAAAAATATACCATGACCCAACATTTGCTCCGGTGACAATTGTTCTGGGCTTCATTTCGTCAAAAGTATCGGGGTAGGGTGGCAATTGGGTTTTGGCCTAGGTTTAGTGTTGGAGTTATGGTTTGGTATAGCGTTGGTTCCAAGGTAATTATATTTAGAAGTTGCAGTTATTGTGGTAAATTGGCCACGGAGCAATCGTCACACGAGCATGTGGTGTACAAATGATAATACACTTTCATTTCTTTCTCATTCCTTATTTTTGTCCTTTCTTTCACTTCATCCTGAGTTTTCCCCTTATTATGTTAATTGAGATGTAACGTGGCAAAATAGAGACTGCTAGAGATTAAGGCCACACAAAGACAAAAGCAGTTATAAATCAACCACAGGTGCAAGATACAGTATTTCAAGAATCATAACCATTTTTATTTCTCTTTTTATACCCCAAACAAAATGACTAGATGAAGAAAATGTTATATATATATTTATAATGTACACCTTTTCTAAATGAAGCAAAGGAAATTGATATAAAAACAATTCCTGCACATGTTCTTATTACATACATGATAGAAATTCAATTATACATATGCAAGGAAATTAGAGAATTTAAATAGATAGCTTTTTTTCAATTAAATCTTTCATATAGAGCAAATCATAATAGAAGATATTACTATGGTTAGTAAATTCTTTACAAAAAATGTGGTTAAATAAACCGTAAAGATTTGATACACAATCATTTACAAAGATTTCTAATTTCTTAAATCATTTTTTGGTACAAAAAATTCTCTCTCGTAGATTTCTCGGTATTGCAACTCATTCACGACGAATGATCTTACAAGAAAAATGACAATAATTGAACAATAAAAAATACAAAGGCATATACAACAGCTACATACAAATAAGATCCAAAGTGGATTAGCCAAAATCTTTCTGGACCACTTCTGTGTATCTACATGTACATGTGGGAAAATTAGTAGAACTTCACTTTTCCTCCAAGAACTTCAGGAATATCTAATATAGAAAAAGACCTTGAGAAGAAAAAAGAAAATTACCAAATCCTTTATTTCTTCTGGCTAAGGATTTCATGACAGTGCCTTGTGCCTTTAATAGTTTCTCTTTGAAACAAAATAATATAAATAATCCACAAATGCAAGATCCACGAGTCCCGTATATTTGCATATTGAAGGGTAGGAATGGAGACAACAGACATCAATTTTAAAATCTCACGAGTTAAATAATGATTTTTATAGACGAATTTATAGACTTGTCTTCAGAAAATAATCTAACACATGCATTTACTGCAATAATCTTTTTTACTTACATGAGGCTTTCCATAGTGTCCATACACCAATTGCTCTCATTTTTACGAAAGTAACGTCCGAGTACTTGCTCTTTTTCTTCTTCTTCTTACACAAAGATACAAGGGGATAAAGAAAATTGATAATTTTTTATCTTCACTTCATGTAGAAAATAAAATACAAATTGTGGCCATAAATATACTTAATACCTTAAATCGTATGATTTCAATTCCAACTCAATTTTTCATTCATATGATTTCAATTCCAACTTATTTGTATGATTTCAATTCCAACTCAATTTTTTCATACGTATGATTTCAATTCCAACTTAATTTTTTATTTGTATGATTTCAATTCCAACTCAATTGTAATAACTACATGTACAGTTACTGTGTGCTTAATACTAGTGACTGGGGGGCGTCGTAAAGCGCATATATAAGTCTTCACGTTAAAAGCGAAATAAATATACAGTGGTATAATTATCATTATTATTCCTACTGATAAGGGTTAATTTTATTGCTTATGATGCTCTTACTTAAACACAATTCTTCTTCAGGTGCCATTCTTGTCCCCTGATACATGTACTTTAAACTTACCAGTATTACTTTTTTAAAGCAGGACTTGTGTTTTGGGGATACAATGTATAACTAAAGGCAAACACAGAGACAGAGGGACATGGAAGTTCTCATAACTATATACATAGAAAGTTAAATAATTCACAAGGCTAACAACCTTGAACTCTACTTGTCTTTGTACTGCATTTGGAAAATATACACTCGTACAATAACCTATGATTTCTGGATAACAACCGATGTTAGAAAACAAAGAAAGGGAAATAGAGTGAAACATAATTAAAACATTAATGGAAAAGAATGTTAACTACATTATATGCATCTTAGTGTAACAAACATCGTACAGAACCTGACATTCCTTCCAAAAAGGAATATCAATATACTAAACATTATTTATTTTCTTTAGAAAAAATACAATCATACAAAAATTCAATCATCTTTTTGCCGCATTCTTCAAATGATGTCTGTAGTATATCATAAACAAGATCAAACATATAGATCCATTTATCCGAGAATTCTTCTCGCGAGTATGAATCATTTTCTTATCTACACGTCGTATAATTATACCGTCATACAAATTCACCGAGTTGAAAAAAAGTTCTCAAATACATAACACAGGTAATATTAAGAAATTGATGGAAAGCCCTGGTTTTTCTTCATTCTCCTCCTTTATTTTTTACTGTTCATACTAGTTCATACATCCCACAACTTTCCAACACTACTATTTTGTCTTCTTCAGTAATGTTACAAAGAACTGGCTATAAAATATAAAGTATAATGCATCTCTTTATACAGCTAATAAGCAGCACCCCTGTACCCCACTATTGGCCAAAACCATCTGGGGTTAATTTACATTTTAATGCAAACAGAAATTGGTGTCCTAAGATTGCATCAAAACAAAGTGCTCTTGAAGAGTTTCAAGATGTTTTAGGCTTGCCAAAGCTTGCTAAATCTGCTGCTGATGATCCCTCTGCTATCTAGACTGCCACTGGAGTGCATAGCCACTTTCTAAAACACAGAATGGCCTTACCAGCACCACAGAGCCTCTACACACTTTAAGCGATAACCCAGTCACACCGATGAGGTCGACACCGACGCCAGACCAATGACAGATGGAACTAAACATTACTTTACCCTAATTAGGCCTGTCCTCATCAGCTCGAGTTTGCCAATAACCCGCTATTTTAACTATCCCGATCGCAAATTAGCCAGTTAATTTGCGTCTTGATCAGCCCGTACTTACAATTAACGGGATATTTGGTCAAGAAAATGTCCCGAGAAATATTGGTCTTGTTTCCAAAATATCCCATTATTTGGGAAACGGCGGGCTAATATGCGCCTGTCCGAGCTACTTTGTGATGAGCGTATCAGTCTGGTGAAGACACAATTATGAACTTCGGGATAATATCCTGAGTCTGGAAATAACGGGTTCTTTGTCAAACTCGAGCTGATGAAGACAGGCCTATGACCAAGTAGGGTTGGTTTGGAGTCGATGTGTCAGTTTTGCGGTGTGACCGAGGTATGATGACTAGACTTCTGACAACAATCAGGAATGTTTTTGATGGCTTGCGTACTACTAAGCTGTGACGTCATAAAAATTTAATTTTAGAATTTCTCAATTTTTTGTTCATTTTCCGAAAGAGCATCAAAAATTATGTCCAAACGTCGAAAACCAATTAAATATGTTAAGTATTGGCTGAGATAAGACCATCTGAATAAAAAGATTGTCTATAGGAACTCAGTGTTATATGCTCTGGCTCCTAACCATTAGGAGCCAGAGCATATAACACTGAGTTCCCATAGGACATATATTTATTCAGATGGTCATTTCTCAGCCAATACTTAACATATTAAATTGGTTTTCGACATTTGGACATTATTTTTGATACTCTTTCGGAAAAATGAAGAAAAAATTGAGAAATTCTAAAATTAGATTTTTGATGACGTCACACTTCACCACTCTATTACCTTTAAACATCACTTGACAAACATATGTTGCAGCAGATAACATGTAAGGACATGTCTAATCTAACCCACAAAGATGCCTAAATATATATTTTTTTTGGATGGAGAGACATGCTTAATATGGTAATAGTTTGCTTTAATCACCCCTGACAAAACCCTTGATGTGATGTTAAGTGTCGCATCAAAAATGAGGGGTGGTATTCCAAAGACTCTTTAAATCTTTGATTTCATTGAAATTACTTCGACTGTCGTAACAACCCTGAACTCATCGTGCATCAATGTTTAATCACTGGCACCTACATGTACAGGTTAGTAGCTGCATACGAAAATTAAATCTGTGCAAACACCAATGAGAAATCATAATTGAAATTACAGTCAATCCTGTCTATAGCGACCGCCCGAGGGAAACACAGAACATGTTATTTGCACACATGTGGTCTTTGTAGACAGGTTCCTTTAGTACATGTTTCAATGAGAAACCATTTCCAAGTGAAACAAAAATGCGGTCTTTGTAGACAGGTGGTCACTAAAGCAGGTTGGACATACTTCACTGATTCAAAGATAAAGAGAAGTTCTAGAATACCATTCTCAGATTAGAATTTTTAGGGTTTCCCAAAGATCTTCTCTCTCAGCATATGCTTACAGAACATGGGTAAAAGTTAAGATTATTTACGATTAAATTTATGCTCAGTTCTTCATACTGGCTCTCAGCAGACAATATATTGATACGACCAGTTACGCTAGAAGTAAGTTAAATGGAGTACAACAATACATGTAGATGTGATGGGAGGAAAAGTTTGAGATTTGAAATACATGTATTGACATAGGTCTGTTAGAGGAAGCTTGATTACAAAACATGACATACAGATGTTTTTGGTATTAAACTCAGATCCGAGCAGACAACGTCATCAAAGAACCAGGATAAGGCATCTCAAAAGCAGCATTTATCATTTCAGAACTCGGGTGAAGAAGAAAAAAACGAAGTTCCTAAATATCAAAATAATGATGGATGACCGTTGTTAAGAGTTTTTCTCTCTTTTTTTTGGCCAAGTCATATCAAATTTCCTGGAATAATATCTCACAGTTTACATCATGTTATACGAGAGAAATGATTGATGTCGACCAGCTCCTTAAAGTCAGGTCTCAATGCAAACAGAATTTGGCATCACCCAAGAGGGTATGAAAGTAAAATTTAAAAAATCTCCAAAACTTCTTGCTTTCACCTGGGGGGCGTTTTTCAAAACTTGTCATCAGTGACAAATGACAGTTTTTGTTATAAGCTATTGAAATCCTGGCTTCTGATTGGTAATCACCAGATTTGTCACTGATATTTGTCATTTGTCATTGCAAAAACACTTTGTGAAACGGCCCCTGGAAGACAAACTAGAAAAGAAGCTGCTTTTCGGAATTATCGGAAAAGATGTTCCTTCCGTTTTAGTTGTTGTGAAAAATGGATATTTCAACTTTCTTATGATCCGTAAATTTGTACTCGAGTGGCAAAGCTTTTAGGGTGTAAAAATGAAAGTCGATGATCATTCATGACCACACTAAGTTTCTTGAGAGTTCTTGTGAATGGTTCTTACATTTATTTATTTTCATTTGGGAGAGGGGGGGGGGGGTCGTCTGTTCCCTTTCACTTTATCCTTCCATATTCCGACCGATTTTTTTTTCCTCTGATCTCATTACTGCAAAACCAGGAATTTTCGGCTGCGTTAAATGTTCAATAATTTCACAAGTGGTTCAGATTCGCAAAAGTTGTAGCAGCGTAATAGATGTATCACAATTGACAACGTATCACATCTTTGCAATAGTTAAAGGCTCATAATAGTGGGTTCTCAAGGAGAATTTAACTTAACACCATTTTGGTGTTAAACAAAGTAAGCAGGTGTTGTCAACTTGTCAGTCACCAAGAGTGGAACAGTCAGGTCTTGTGTAATGCCCCTAGTCCACCACCGTAAGGAATTCATATCATAAAATCGAATTTCCTTCACCCTCGAGATATGAAGGCAAGTAGGAGTAGTTTCTGGTGGGACCACAGGTTTGTTGCACACACAGACACATTCATTGGTAATTCCACCAAATCTAGTGTCAGCAAGTTATGATGCAAGACATGTGGACACCAACTTCTATGCGGCTTGAAGTTTCTTGCCATGGAAATAACCATCCGTAATACAATGCAAAGTTACACGCCTCAAAATGTCCTGGTGTTACTGTACATAGACTGACCATATCCCAGAGGACAATGCTGAAATAAACTCTGAAAAGTCCAATCCCTGCTACCAAATTGTGCTTTACAGGTAAATATAAAATCCAGATTCCAGAACCAATTCAAAGTATTTATATTCACTTGCTGGATATTAGGTAATAGAGGGCCTATAGCAAGGTTGTATGATTTGGCAGAATGCCGCAGAATGAGCCAGCTAAATCACATTCAGCAGATTTCCTGCAATGCAATCGTCTTTCCTTTGACTTTTTCTTAAGACACATCTGCTAAAATATTGCAATATAAATAATGGAACTTCTTCTGAGTATGTAAAGAAAGTGCAAATATATTACCAGTAGTATAAAATCTCTCTGACTCGACTGAAACATTGAAGCACATTATATATATATATATCAAAGACTCCAGCACTGCTTGCCCAAAATACTGTGCTTCTCTCTCCGATATCACTTATACACATTTATATGCTCCGCCTTTAAACCTGGCATAGCATTCTTGTCCCCTCCAGTGCTTTTACTGCCTTGCAAAAGTTCATCCAACAGGCATACAGTATTCCATTAGGAACCTTGCCGGCGCTCCTTTCTCGTTTTTGATTTTGTTTTCTTCAGCCAGCTTAGGTGGTACTGCATTGTTAGGATGGTTAGGCGTGGCAGCTGCTGGTCCTTTCTGTCAGTGGAGAGCAAGTGCATCATTCTCCCTAAGCTACTAAAAAATAGTGAAGATCCTATTGTCTGGGTGGTGCAGGGGGTTGTCCTCTCTTTGTACCTGATTAACACAAATTAAAGAAAAGAGAGAAAAAAATAGAAAGAAGGGTAATTAGTCCCATAAATATATATAGAGAGAGAGAGAGAGCCAAATCAATTAAGAATTCATATTTTATTGAACTGTGAATAAGAGTCTACTTTTACAATATTACCCCTGTAGTTACAGTACAACTGTGTTTTATATGAGTGTCGTACAACCTCTGTTCCATTGTGAAAATGATTCTAATCCAATTATTATGCACCAAGGAAAATCCCCGTGCTTTTGGCAGCAGTGGCGTAATAACAGTTTTAACATGTGAGCATTTTCACCCTGCAACATTAAATGCCAATTTATATGAACTTTAAAATCTTGCCTGCAAAGAAATCTCAATTCAATATAAGGAACTTTTTGTTTATTCAGTTTCCAAGGCATATACAAAAAACAGAAAATTGTATTCATTGCCAGCACATTGGCAAACCGTTTGTAGGTATCCACAAGTAGTTTGTTATAGAAGCTCATTTCTAAAACCAGAAAATTACAAGCTGCATACGTCAGAAAAAGAAAATAACATGTTTCAGAAGTAATAGCCAACAAAAAGTACATCTAAAATCTATTCAATTTGTTCAAACCAATTTAAAAATTATCATACAACAGGTATAAAACAGAATAACAGCCCTTTGTACTTCGAAAAGAAATTCCTAACAAATAGTAAAGTAGTATATATATATATATATATATATATATATATATATCCTGTAAAAGATTCTTACAATGTCAATATAAAAACTTTGTACCGGTAGTGCAATCTTGATGATGCGTAAGTTCGAACAAGCAGAGTACAAATTTCCAGGCAAAATGGCATTCACATGACATTGTATGTTTCCATTTTTTCTCAGGCATGAGGCAATATATGCTTTTGCAGAAACAGGAGTAGCTATTTTACGGGGGACGGTATATACTGAGGATGGTATTCTTGAAAGTGAACTAACTTTAGTCCATGGTTTAATCCATTGACTAAGTATGAAATGCCAAGTGTCCATATGAATATGTTTTTGAATAATTTAATCTGTAACTAAATTAAACTAAAATGTAATAACATAATTAATAAACAACAATATACCTTTGATATAATTGTTATCATCGTAATTTAAGGACATATTAAATTATTAAAAAATATATTTATATGGACACTTGGCATTCCATACTTAGTCAGGGGATTAAACCATGGACTAAAGTTAGTCTGCTTTCGTTAATACCACCCTTAGGCCCGAATTCACAAAGCAGGTTTGTTGACAAACCTAGGTTTATGTACATCATATGACGCATTTTGACATGTTTTTTACAAACGCGTCAAAACACGAAAACCTAGGTTTGTCGACAAACCTCCTTCATGTATGTGAATTCGGGCCTTAGAGTTTGGTGCAGTTTATACGGTGGAATCTCATGTAAAGAATATAAATTAACAACTTGTGAATTATAAAATGTGGTACAACTTATGTAAATTTCTGCACTTTTTAATCATTTTTCAATATTGTCGAGTTACTATCTCGATATAAAGTCCCAAGAAGATAGAACGAGTTTCAAAGAGCAGAAGTATTTTACATTATGCATAAGTTTATGTTATTCATTTTCCCATACACTATACAGGATATGTATCTGAATCTGTGAACAAGAATTTCAATACGAAAAAAATGAGTATCAATGCAAGGCATGCCATGCCAATCACTTCAAATCATGTAATTCTTGAATAAAAAATAATAAATAATATAAAAAAAACTCGCTTCATCAAGTCCAAATGGTGCATTGGATGCTAATAGGAAAGAATACAGGTAATAAAGAATAAAATAATAAAGAATAATATAATAAATAATAATACATAAGAAAAACAACATTATCATGCAAATTCCATTATAAACTAGTGCATTTCTCGGCAGAAACCCGCACACCGCTCCATTCTACACATGTGGGACTACATGTGCTAGAAGATGGGTAGGAGAGAATAGCTGAATCAAGAATCTTCGAGTCTTCCAACATGCAGGGGAAAAAATATGATTCAAAGGTCCATTCAGACTCCAGGTTGTTAAATGCTTTGAGAGAAAAAAGAAATGTTGCAAAATTAAATTCTGCAAAATTTAAATAATATTAAGAAAATGCACCCATGTTTCTCCATCTTCTGTCATACAGATCTGTACAGAACCATGGGGCTACGGGTTTTACCCTCAAAAAATATCTCTTGCAATTCTTGTAAATGTACATGTAAAGTTTTGTCGCAGCATTTTGTATTGAACCCTCCTTTTTAAAGGTATAGACCAGTTTGGGAAATGCCCCCCTCTAAAAAATTCAAGTGAAAGAATATGTTTTAAATACAGTAATACGTGATGATACAAAGTTTGCAGGGAAAGCGCCTACTAATTGATATATTTGGTAAATTATTATATCTATCCGGACTGGAAAAATATCCCGTAGTCCCATATACCGGTACATCTTTCTGTCTACAGTGCTTGTAACTTTACCAAGACTGGGCCAAATTTCTTATCATTTTGATGATTCCAGAACCTTGCAGTACACACCTTTACTTATATGCTAGATGATCAAACTTTTCTTTTACAATGCATTTGCATGACCAGAACTGGTCTATACCTTTAATAAAATTTATCATGTCATGTCAACAATATAAAATGGAGCTAAACAGTGCACATGCAAAAACGATAGGGGTGGAAATTGGAATGCAAGGGACCTTTAGAAGAAAACAATTGGATGCATAATTGCATATATGCCAAAATCTGTCATGTCGCAGCACTCACCATTGGAATGTGCATTCGCTTGCTCGGATGTAAAGTACACAGTGGAGTCTGGTAGCGAAAGGGGGGTGGGGTGGGGTGCAGAGAGGGTGCAAGAGAGAGAGAGAGAGAGAGAGAGAGAGGGGGGTGCATAAAAAGCATGGGTACATCAATTACAGTGAAGTGGTAATGTGAAATAATATTCCAATATGGAAGACTTGACCGCAGTAGTGGCCCCCTGGCCATGGGGCACCAAACTGCTATGTCGGGCAACTGATTCTTCAAAAAGTATTGAAGAGAAATTGTTGCCCATGTCAGGAACCAAAAATGTAATACATTAAAAGTACATTGTATACAATATTGAAGACCAGAGAGATATTGGAAGAGTAACCCATGCAGGGAGAGAGATAAAAGACTGAGATAGACAGAGATAGAAGAAGAGAGAGAGAGAGAGAGAGAGAGAGAGAAAAGAGAGAGAGAGAGAGAGAAAAGAGAGAGAGAGAAGACAGAGAAGAGAGAGACAGAGAAAAAAAAATAAAGAGAGAGAGCAAAAAAAAAAAAGAGGGAGATAAATTTATCGGATACCGGCGCTATATAAATATCCATATTATTATTATTATTATTAAAGAAAAAATATATATTTGAGTAAATGTCAGTGCAACATAGATGAGCAAAAACAAAATAAGAAACATTACAAAAAATTATCTTGGCAAAGCAAACTCGAGTCCAGACCACCTAAAAATCAAATTAAGGTCACTTTGGCTCATTGATATCAAGCCCTGCAAAATGACACTGAAATACCCCCCAAAAATAAGAAAAAAAATACATACAAATCATTCAAATGTAATACAAATGCAATTAAGATATAATGACAAAAATATATATCTATGAGGGGGAAAAAATCAGGGAAAAAATACATACCAGTACATACAAATCATACAAATGCAATTAATATATGCGTTTCTTTTTTCTTTCTTTTTTTGTGTGATTGAAAACAAATGTGTTTTTATAACTCACATCTCCAGTAAAACTGATTTTCTACCACGTTGGTAGAGCCATACCTGCGTACGTTAAACATTCAGGACTTGTCATTTTCACATTCTGTTTTTATCATCGAAAGTAGGAGAGGAACTGCGGTAAATGTATTCAGGATCTCAAAAAACACACCACAAGATGTCTTAAAGGGATCCGGTAACTTTGTCTTAGATCCTTTAGAAATAATCCTTGATTTAGCTCATGCTGCAATGATAACTATAAACCTTTAGGTCAGTCCGGAACTCCACGATTTTTACAAGCCGATCGCCTGTCTGATTATCAAGATATTAATGATTGGAATTACAAATTTTGAAAACCGTTTGCTGAACGGTTTTCATAACACTACAGTCTATTGGGGAAAACAAGTATGGTAAAACCGGTCACTCAAAGATTTTTACTTTTTTGAGGCACTTCTTGATCATTTTGAAGCGCAATTTTTTTAGGGCTTCAATATTACACTATATCACAGACACTGGTAACATGTACATGTAGGACCGTGTATCTCAGATTTAACATTGTTAAACGATCCCTTTAAGACGAAACCTTACAAATTGCGTTATTTATCTGTCTCTGCAAATGAATCCAATGTATGCATTATAAAACCAGGAGCAGGAAAACATATTTATACACAGAGGCATGCAGCAGTTTTGCTCTGGAAAGGTCTCAAAGACACAAGGGCCCCCGTTTCACAAAACTTGCCATCAATGACAAATGACAGTTTTTGTTATAAGCTACTGAAATCCTTGCTTCTGATTGGTTATCAGCAGATTTGTCACTGATTTTTGTCATTTGACATTGAAAAAAGGCTTTGTGAAACAGGTCCCTAAAAGATATATACAGGTAACAGGAGAAAAATGGTAGAGCAAACATTTCAAAGCAGTAATAAAATCTCACCTACACAAAACATTTTTTCGACCAAAATCAGTTATTCATGCAATAAGATTACCAGTACAATGAAAGGTCTTGGGACGATGGGGCAATTTCCAATCAAAATGCTTAAAAACAGGACAAATATTGGAAGTTACTGTGTGATTTTCCTCATTTATGATCACACATATTTTATTAAAACAAAGGAGGAATAAGGAAAAGGGGGAGAAGGCTTTAAAAAAAAGGAGGAATTATAAAAAGAAGGAAGGAAATAAATACATGCAGACATACCGGGTACATCATTGTATGACCTTTTTCTAATGATACGTTGTATGACCTTTTTCTAATAATACGTTGGATGCAATTAGCACCAAGCAGGAAATAGAGGCTTTACAAGAAATCTTTTGCCAAAGGGGGTTTAAAAACAAAAGGTTCTGATAATGTAACAGTTCAGAAATGATTGAAAAATCAATCTGAAAATGCTTATTTTACATTTAAAATTATACAAAACAATGTACCACTTTTCAGGAAGGGGGGTATGCGGTTACCTTGTATCACAGATTTTGCTTAATAGTGTATCCCCACTCCTCATATATTCTAATGTTCTTTCAAGAGAGGTTTTACAATCAATCTTAAAGGGGAAAGTTCTCAGTATTATACAAATAAATGACATTGACTCAGGGGGCTTTTCTTTGAGTGAACTATAAACATTGAATATGAATTATTAACATATTATTGACATATTATTAACTGGTAGTAGAGTTAAAATGTTGCCATTATGGGATTTGGTAAACAATAGGACATTGAAATTGAAAAATCAAGAAAATTTCAAACAAACGCAACATACATGTAGCTTCTCAATGAGATAACTACAATGTCCAATATTAGTCCAATGTGTTACATTAGCCACCTCGCTCTGAAGATCACCTATCGCCTACAATCATTTCCATCATGGACCCTTATAGAAGGGCCACCTGCCTACAGTGGCCAATGTTTGTCTGTTCCCTTCAAGTGGAGTTATAGACAGGTTTAAATGTATACTAATTGAGCATCTAACAAGCAATTCAATACTCATTCAATGACATACAGTATGTGAATACAGTTCAAACTGAATTCACAGCTCGACAGAATTTCACGACGCCTTTGAGGCTACACACTGATGACACATCTGTGAACCGTTTTAATACCATAACAAAGAAATGAAAATAACGGTGAGGAGGCAATGAGGAAGTGAGAGCACCAATGTTTCTTCGTATTTAACTCCATTGCAGTGTGATTAAGTACACTGCAAATACAAGTAGAGTCCTTAACTGTATTTCTTTTAAAAGTGATCTTTGACCAGATGCATATTTAAAGAAAGAATGTTTTCTTTGAACACACAACATTGCATGTAATCTGTCGTCATCAGGATATGATTGGCTCGCAATGATGAAATACTCTTCAGTTAAGTGTATTTACAAATTGTTTATCTATGTTTGTAGACACACTTAATATTTAATAGAAGTGCGTTATAATATCATCTGTTCAGAGGCAAAAGAGCGTTAAATTATCTTGTTTTACTGAGGTTAAACTCCCTTCAAGTTCTAAACAAAAAGTATAAATATACTACTTTGTGGTTTGAAATGATGCTGTAGCATTTAAGTGATGGGTGTGGTGTCTCAAATCTTGAGAATATCTTCACATGATGATGATTTAATTTACCGGTAACAAACAAGGATTATACATCATAAAAATGATAATGTGATGCAGTTGCACCTACACAGGTCTAACAAGCATTGCTTCCAATTAGGTTAGTTTTTCATTTCCTGTTACCAAATAATTTTGCATTATAAGACTAAAACAAGTGTCAAAAATATATTTCAATGCTAATTTTCTAATCTATCACTATGTTTATTATTGTGATTATCTTGTCATTGTTTATATCATGTGAAAAGAAATTAAATAAATTTGCTCTATATAGAGTGACTACTACTACTACTATACTAAAGGGGATGCTTTGCTGATTTAGATGACTGAGACTATACAGTGTGCAGTGTCATTGCGAGTCAGATTCACTTTCTATAGCCTTTCCTTCCCAAAAATTCATCTTCAATAAAAATGGTGAAATTCAAAGATAGCCCTGGGATATCATTATACTTTTGCCCTGAATTTTTAGGGGGGGGGGGAGAGAGATGTCCTTTTCTAAAAATAGATGGACATTTGGACTTCCATATATCAATGGATTATTACAATTAAAGGGAGATGGTTATCAGTTCCCATGTGCAGAAGAGTCTATAAGCCAAGTTTAACTATTACATGAATCTCTGCCATGCAAACAAGACCGAACACTAGACTGACAACACAACGTATAAAACAGACCGTACAAAAAACACATAACTGGGAATGGCAAAAGAATCTGCTCCGTGGGGAGACGTTTTTGCACAATGACCTAGGTCTGAGACTACTTTGAGGCTACGAGCCTCCGTCTCTACCCTCCTCATGAACTGCTATACTTACTTTGTCTATTTGGTTGTTTGCTTGGATACGTCTTTTGTAACTTCTTCATAGGTGGAGGAGTTGGGAAGCGTGAGGATGAGTTAAACCGGAACCGACTCTCAAAATCATCTGGGGGAGGAGAGGAGAGAAAGAAAAAATAAAGATGAAATTGATATTAAGAACGTCTAGAAGAATTGAACCTACGTGTACAGTATTCTTATGATTTTTTGTAATTAACTTCCAGGCAGGCACCTACATGTAAATTACATTGTATCAAACAGTTTTAACATTTCACTATATACATACATGTACATGAACTTGTACTGTACCAAGTTTGTGATTGTAACACACCTTCATTTACGCGTATTACTGTACGTGTCATTGTTACAATCGACCCTGAAAAAAAGATACGCTGGACAGGTACATGTATAGCCAAATACAACTATTGATCCATGCCACTCCACTGCCTGCCATTAAAGATACAAATTAATTTTTTGCTGCTCTACCGGTATTTTTTTTTCCTTCTATGATAACATTTTATGGATTGAAAACAATACAGAACTCTACATGTACATGAATATGTAAAGAGTCAAGCCTACAATGGTGAAAGTGTTTATAGAATATTGGATGGCTTTGAGTGTGATACAAGAATTTAAATTGTTTAAGCGAGAGCAACATATTCTTGTATCACACAAAACCAAAGCCATACAATATTATTATTATTATTATTATCTATTTCAGGCTCTGTTGTCAGAAGGGACACCAGTTTTGGACATTAGGGGGGGGGGCACAGTGACCAGGTACCAGCGAAAGTGTTGTTGATCAATATGATGCAAAGTATCATGGAATCAATTTTGTTAAACAATACCTGTACTTGGCACTATGACACTCATCCAAGCTCTCTCATTCTTTCTATTTTTCTTGTGCGCCTCGGAATAGCATTGCCTAGATAGATGGCGCTATATAAATGCCTATTATTATTATTATTATTATTATTATACACATGTACATGTATTTATGCATAAACAGTTCTGTGATCCTTAAATATTTCCACTGATCCTAGCTTTAAAAAATTAGGCTTTCAAATTGATGCAACCATCATCAGAAATATAATATTTGATGCAAACAATAATCTAACATACATGTACAACGTATGGGACAAAACACCTTGAATTTTGAAAATGTATACATTTCTGGCATTCAAACAAAAAGGGGGATTACAAATTCATCACAATGGATTGAGTCAACTTGTGTGATAAAAAAAAGGGGTTACAAAAGTGATACAGATGGAATGACTCATTAATTTGATTGTTCATGTTCATTTACATAATAAGTGTTTCCTTGAGGTACAGTGATTCTGTACAAGGTATGTAAAATGGCAAAGACATGTACAGCTGTGGTTGATATCTCTTTGACAACCTGTCATGTTCATAGTGTACATGTACCGGTACAGTGTATGTCTGATGCCACTTAAAGAGAAGGTTAAGTTCTGGGAAGAGGTAAAAAATAATTTGTGAGCGTTATCATTGTATATGTGTGGAAGAGCATCGAGAAAAAATTATGGCTCTTCAAAGGCCTTTATATTCTAAATATGGCATGTAACATCATAAAAATTGGGACAGATTTTTATGCCACATGTTCGTGTAGTCCCATATACATCGTTCTGTGTACAGTGCTTATTACTTTAACAAGACTGGGCTGAATTTCTTATCATTTCTAATGACTCCAAAACCCTGCAGTACAACGTTTCTTTCACACTGCAATCGCATGACCAGAACTCAACTTCATCTTTAAATGCAGTCATGTGGCTTTTAATAGTCTTGAGGTAAAATCTATGACAAAATGTACCTTCATGAATATTATGGCCAGATTTAAGAAAAGATTTAAGAAAAGAGGTAATTAAATTATTAAGTCAGTCTAGAGGTGCGACTGGGCTAATTACTTTCAATGGTCAATCGAAATTGCACGATTACTCTGCATGTCCATAACCAAGGAGATTCCCACCTACAATTAATTATCAGTAATTAGTGCAAACATCCTGCAGATTCTTCAGAAGACCTGGCTTCATCAGCTTGAGTTTGCCAAATAGCTCGCTATCTGCCGATTTGGGAAATAATCCTGAAGTTACAAATTGCGTCTTCATTAGCTTGAGACTTGACCTCAAAACTTGAAACTCGAGCTCGGGAAATTAGCTCAAGATATTTCCCACAGCGTCCGCGCATAGTGCTAGTCTTCAGGGTGGTGAAGACCACCGGACAAATAGCGTGAAGTTTTGCCAAATAGCTGGATATTTTGCAAACTAGCCCAAGATATCTTGGGATGATTATCTCGACCAAATATCCCGCTAATTGCAACTTTGGGCTGATGAAGACGCAAATTAACTGGATAATTTGCGATCATGATAGTTCAAATAGTGGGATATTTTGCAAACTAGCCCCAGATATCTTGGGATGATTATCTCGACCAAATATCCCGCTACTTGCAACTTTGGGCTGATGAAGACGCAAATTAACTGGATAATTTACGATCATGATAGTTCAAATAGTGGGATATTTTGCAAACTAGTCCAAGATATCTTGGGATGATTATCTTGACCAAATATCCCGCTAATTGTAACTTCGGGCTGATGAAGACGCAATATAGCGGGATAGTTCAAATAGCGGGATATTTGGCAATCTCTAGCTGATGAAGACAGGCCTAGAGTGTACAATTGAATTATGCAACTGAAGACTTGGGGTCTTTGACGGCAGATGTTCCAAGCTGCCGAATACATGGCAACAACATATTTCTTTTTCTCTCTTTAATGTATTTTTTGTTTAACGCACCAAATATGATACTGCAATTTCAGTCCCTAAATATGAATTTCAATTAATTCTTTTGACTTTGGCACACTTTCTGGTTCCTTCAAAAGGCACAAAACTTGAAAAGCAAAGTCAAACATTTTTGGGGGAATCACCTTTCATGAAACTCATGTATTGGCAATTCCAGTTTCCCAGGGTATGTTTACTTTATACTGACACACACAAGAGATATTGTAAAGCACAAAGAACAGTCGATTTTGGGTTGCACTTGTCAACACAGCTAGTTTTAGGAACATTAGGTTTCAACAATATCTCTGAGTCTAAAGTTCACAATCATTTCATACTACATGTATGCAAATAATTGAAGTCCGTGAAATTATGCAATGCCCCCCTTCTTATCACAGCGACTTGTAATATATCCATCAAACTTGCGATAAAGTAGTGGCACCTACAGCATTGACATAGAATACTACAGAAAGCTCAAAGTTAAAAGATGGCAATTCATTAAGAATATCACAATCATAGCTCAATTTTATGAAGTATACATTGATATTACTTTGATGGTCGTTACTTTTACCAAAAGTCATTTTAAAGTTTGTTTTCACCAGTCAGAAGATAGTTCATGGTCATGGTTTATATTCAATACACCAAGAAAATTCAAAGAGGGCGATTCCAAACCATTTCCAATGACCAAAACCAAGCGTTCAAACCTGCTAATGTTCTGCAGCAAAACGTAGCAATCTCTCGGGGCAAAATCATGAATCCAGTTGTATCTGTATGCTGTAGACAGCTGTATGCTTTTAACCATAACTTTTCATAACAAAACAAGCGAGGAATCCTAGGCTCATATCTTAAATTTGAAGGGGAGAAAGAGAAATCCTTCCTCCGATATACAGGCCTAGAGAACTGCGTATGCTCGTATCAAGAAGTTGAAAAAAGAGGAGAGTTAGATCCATGAAATGTATGTACAGTCAAACCTGCTTTAGTGACCACCTCTTTACAAAGACCACCTGTCGACAACAAGCACATTTTTTGTTTCCCTTGAAAATGGTTTCTTACTGAAACATGTACTAAAGGAACCTGTCTACAAAGACCACCTGTCTACAACAAGCATATTTTTTGTTTCCCTTGGTCGGTCACTGTAGACAGGTATGACTGTAGTTTGAAGGTATAAAAATAAAAATAAATCACTCCTTCAATGGACAAGGGTGGCAGAGCTCTACATTCAATGTCTGACAGGGGAAAAAATACACGGGGGATCGGAGCAAATTAGCCCCCAAAACGCCCAAAAGAGCCCCCGAAAGTAAAAAAAAGAGCCCCCCCAAATTTGCATAGAGTTCAATGCAAAACAAATTAAAGAGTGTTATTTTCATGCCGGCTAGCTTGAAAAGTAGCCCCCGAAAACTAAATATTTATTATTTCCCTGGCTCTATACTCAATGTTTGACCTACCTGGGCTGCATGTAGAAGTAGCCTGGCCAGCACCGTACACGTTGTACCCGTTATACCCATTGAAACCCCAACGTCGATTCCCACTCGCCATCGCTTCCACCTCCTTCAAGCTCTAGATCACAGAAGCCAAACAACCAAAACCGTCCTTTAACCTGGTCAGACCACGAGAACAATCTTCCTCTTCTTGTAAAAATCCAACGATTCCTAGAACTTCGGAAGACAGAGGCAGTACATGTACACTCCCCAGGCTAAGGTACAGAGGATCAGAGGCTTTCCTTGTGAGAGAGAACCTTGCATAAGAAGCGTACACAACAATAATTGTTCTTGTTCAGACCACAAGAACAATCCTCATCTCCTAGTAAAATTCCAACGGTTCCCAGAACTTTGGAAGGCAGAGTCAGTACATGTAAACCTCCCAGGCTATAGTACAGAGAATCAGAGGCTTTCCTTGTGAGAGAGAACCTTGCATAAGAAGCGTACACAACAATAATTGTTCTTGTTCAGACCACAAGAACAATCCTCATCTTCTAGTAAAATTCTGACAGTTCCCAGAACTTTGGAAGGCAGAGTCAGTACATGTAAACCTCCCAGGCTATGGTACAGAGAATCAGACGCTTTCCTTGTGAGAGAGAACCTTGCATAAGTAGCATACACAACAGTCAACAACAAGCTACAAAATGCACTTCTGCAACGCTGTCTGATCTTGCAGTGTGTGATTAGCGAGAGCTTCCGAGAGCCTACACGTCCAATCAAACCGAGCTGACCTCACAGGAAGCGCAAGGGGGACAGCATGACGCGTAGCTGGGGCGACTCAACGGTTTGCCACCTACGCAGCAATGGATGAGGGGAGTCGTGCCAGCTGACAATACTGTTTAAA